CGTTATGGTGCTCTTTTTCTTACAGACGGTGCCCAACTGACCCTACTATCTTGGGCAGTCGACAAAATCAAAAACAAACAACGCAAATAACGGAAATCTCTATCTATAAAAGGCAGGATGTGTGTGTGTGTGTGTGTGTGTGTGTGTGTGTGTGTGTGTGTGTGTGTGTGCGTAACGAATGCACGGCCGCAATTTCGACAGATTTGCCCCAAAATTTACATGCACATGCTCCAAGTTAGCGGGAAGGCCAAGACCGACTTTGCATTTCCCAACTCCCATCGATAGTGGAATTAATCGATTTTTTCATGCTTCTACGGCACTTTTCATGTAGTTTGCGGCCATTTTCTACTGGCCAGAGTGAGAGCGTATAGCTGGCTGCCACGAATAGGCAGGAAGATTCTATTGGCCAGCGTGAGAGCCAACAGCTGACTGACACGAAAGTTAACTAGCATGCAAAAAAAAATTGATAGCTGCATTCGTCACAAGTGGGAAAAATTTAAATCTGCATAGCACTTTACTCCAATTGGCTCATTCGCTTGCTTAAACTCAACGTTGATTCTGATTCCGCAGAGCTGGGTTGGGTGTGAAAAGTATTTGTTGTTAATATTCTTTTTTCATTCGGTTTTTCCAGTTACGAGTCCTTTTTTAAAGCTGATCGTTTTGTGTTCATTTTGTTTAGTTCTTTTTTCGTAACAGATTTAATGTTTAGTATAGAGCTTAGAAAAAATTCACAGTGTGAGATAGGCAAGAAGTAAGGCATGTAGCAACATCAGCACGGCAAAGGGCACTCCTTTAAAGGCAAGGAAGGGCAAAAATATTTTAAGTCAAGTGATAGTGATTGCTGTATGTGTCGTACGATTTTTGAATGAAGCACCGGCAACGTCAAGCCATGCTGCTAGTTAAAATATAAAATGGCGACAATTTCCCCATCACACCCTGTATATTCATTTATTAATTAAAACGTTATTTTTAGCGGTTACCCGCATTTGAATAGAAGTCCGTTTTTTATTTTAAACAGTATTTCGTTTGTCGGCCTGCACACTGGAGAAATAAATATTGTTTAATATAAAAACATAGCCTCAACGCAAATACGGGCATCCAATAAAAATAACTATTGAAGTAGTAAAAATATGTCAAATTAAAAAAATCTTTAATATATATATATATATATATATATGTGTGTGTGTGTGTGTGCGTGTAAAACATTCTCAGAATTACTCCATAGAAAAAGACAATATGTATGAAGGAAAAAAAAGAAATTAGAAAAACGGTATGTGGTTTTAGCCAAATTGTTTCGTCCATTGCAGACTTTTTCAAGACAAAAAAAAATGAAATGATTTTCTTTGAACAAAGTATTTATAAACGCAAACACACAGTTATTAGTTACTAGAAGAATTTAGAAACGCCCATATATCTTCATTAGGTCAACAGAAAAATTATGCCATTTACTTTTTATGTTCAAAGAGAATTTTTTTTTAAAACCATTATGGATATAATCAGATCTATAAACCCCCATAATAATATTTCAGAAGTAAGCTTATATATTTGTCGCCATTTTATAATTTTTATTTCGCGCATGCGCGTCGTTTGTTTTTGATTTTGTCGACTGCACAGTGTAGTAGGGTTAGTTGGGCGCCGTCTGTGAGAAAAAAAAAAAGAAGCACCATGACGCATTTCATTACGCCAGAAATTTAGAAACAGCATGATGTACTGGTTGGCATTCGCGCAGTAAGAGAATTTTTCTCAACCATTATGGATATAATCAGATTTAAAACACCCATAACAATATTATTTCATTCCGTCTGAAATTTAATTCATAATTTTAAAAAAGCTCTGCTATTTTATATGGTATTGAGCATTTTTTCTTTCTGGTATGCATTCACGGCAGACTCATTTTTAAGAGCTTCTTTATTATTCCTATTATATATATATATATATATATATATATATATATATATTATGAAATTGACAAAGTCCGACAATTATTTTAAGACATTTTTTATGTTTAACATTCTTTTTATAGGTACAAATATTTAAGTAAATGCTCTTTTTATAATAAACAGTATTAAACAACATTTACCGAAAATTTCCCGGACATTCAGGCCGGTAAGTGTTGTTTAATACTGTTTATTATAAAACAGAGCATTTACTTAAATATTTGTATCTATAAAAAGAATGCATAAACATAAAAATGTCTTTAAATATATGTAGTCATTCAGAGACTGACTATTTCGCAACTCTGCAATGTTTGATTGCTTCAAGCTGGGACCGAAACCCAATCGAAATGGCATCAATCAGAGATTCTACCCTAGGCTATCGTCAGACAGCAGAAAGGAAGGAAATTTTAACCTTTTCTATGCGAAATACGTCAGTGGCCCGGAGAGATCAATTCAATTCGATAATTATATATATATATATATATATATATATATATATATATATATATATATATATATATATATATATATATATATATAATAGATTAGTCCAACAATTTCGTAGAAAATATGGACTCCCGGACTAGTAATTCTTATGTGAAACATCATTTGATCTGACGTGCTGTTACCATTTAGCTACAGAGTAGCGAGGTTAACAAAGTCCGAATTACTGTTGAAAAACACACGCCTTCGACAATTTTTTATCGATCGATCAATTCTGCTCACGAAACATAACTTAACGTAAACAATGACAACATATGACAACATATTATAGCAGGGATTAATTAAATGCTCTGTTTTTTAATTAAACAGTATTAATTACATTCTATTTTCTATGAAATTGTATGACATTCAGGCCTGAATGTTCGAGAAATTTCGTAGATATATATATGTGTGTGTGTGTATGTATGTATGTTATACACCGTACATATGAAGACTAACGAGTATGTGCCAACCCTCATAAATACGTTGGACACTGTTGTAAGTGGGGGTAATATGCTGTCTAAGTAGTTCACAACTAGAAGTGGTTTACCTACTTCACGCCGCTGGACAATTATCTTTAAGTTTAGTTTTTTAAATTCACTAAATATAATTTTTCTGATTTTGTATATCTTAAAACTAAAAGAACTCCTCACCACCATGAGCCTATCATCTCTATACAGTCCGATGTCCTTAATATCAATTTCGCGGTGTACCTTTAAGGTGTACAGTATTAGAAGACCAACAAGGTCAGAAGACTCCGCAGAGTCTAATGATCCCATAGTGATGTCAAACAGGTCGTTATTGTTTTTTATCCATTGGTCCCCATTATGAATGAGGACCGATTTCTTTGCGCTGAGGATTATATCTGTTTCTTCCTTTGTCAGGTTAGAATACACAGCAGCAAAGTCCAGGGCAGTCGTAAATAGATCCTTCGAAATTGATGGGTAGTAATCCACGATATCGAACTGTATTAGGGTGCAATTCATATATATATATGTCATTATACTTTCAGTGTTCATCATTAACATTTTTCTCTCTATCTCAAATCCAAACATGCAGACTTCTTTATAACGAGAAAGGAGGAGAGACCGATATTGGCAGAAAGGAAGAATGAACGAATGAATAAAATAGAAATTAGAGAGTGAGGAGTGTCCCACAAAAAAACAGAAAATTTGGTACAGTTTCTTTAATTGTTGGAACTTTTGTTACAGTTATTTGAAAGAAAAGCATAGGATAAAAATTTAGTGTCTTAAAACAGAACAAAAACACAAATGTTATATGTGGTGTTCAAACTAAAGTACTCTGGCGAAATTTCCTGGCATTTTTTCAATCCCCAAGTTGAATGTTCTTTCTTAAAGAGAATAATCAGCACGCGTTGAAAATTTGATAACAGTGGCATCCTGTAACAATTAATAGCTAAAAAAAAATTATATGTTATTTGGTTGGTGCAAAAATAATTTCGTTTTCTAACATATGTTACTATGTTAGAAAACGAAATTATTTTTGCACCAATCTAATAGTTAATTATTATATATCTATGTTAGTTAATTCTTTTCCATCTTATAGCAAATATAAAATTTCCAATTTTTGTGGGGCAACCTTTAGATATGGCAAGAAAGCAAGCAAAAAAAGAAAGAAACAAAGAAATAGATTTTGCCAGAAAGCATGAACGAAACAAAAAAAGGAAGAACGTGATATAGCCAAAGAGAAAGAAAGAAAGAACGAACGAAAGAAAGTAAAATTGCCAAAAACGAACAAAGATACATATTGCCTGAAAAATGAAATAAAAATATGCAACATAAGAAAGAAAGGAAGAAAAAGACAAAAAGAAAGAAAGAAAGAAAGAAAGATAAATACAGATGTTACCTTTCCCCACCTCGACTCCTAAGATCCATTAATGCAAATGCATTACCCAACCCTTTTTTCCACCATCAATGGCAGCCATCTTAAATAAAGACGTCCATATTTGGTGGATCGACCATGTAATGGAGGAGGCGGTGGAAACTCCCGCCAAAACAAATAAACGTCTTGTAGTCTACTCTTGTTTGGCAGCGGGCCGCCTTCCCGTCTTGTACTGCCTTAAACAAACGATGATCGAAATCAAAATGCCACCCCCGTCTCCGTTACTAAATGCACATCTTTTTCCCCCGCTCTCGTTCCTTCGTCCCTTACTCGTCGCTCTCTCGGGAAACCAAAGGAAGTCTTGTCGATGGCGCCGGTTCCTGCGTCCATTCGTCTTCTGTCCTACACTTGTGTTTGTGTATTTTGTCTTCATCCAAATGGCAAGATGCGGAGCTAACAGAAATAGGGTTGGAGGGGGCGGCGGGGAGGTTTATCGGACGGAAGCTGAGGGAAAAACAACGACGTACCCCACAACGGAAGTGATGTCAAGTTATCATTTGTGATCAAGGGGCGGGAATGGGAATACGCTCGCTGCTTGTCTTGTTATTTTTTTTTTATTCCTTTTTTGTATTTATCCAAAAAGATTGATTCTCATGCATACATCATATCTATCTCTGCTCCTGTTCACGCACACGCACGCACGCACACACATATATATATATACATATATATAGCTTGCTAGCTATATATATAAAGCGATAGATAGATAGATAGATAGATAGATAGATAGATAGATAGATAGATAGATAGATAGAATGTATGTAACAGCAAAATTGTCCAAATTATGTAAAAACAAAATTGACCAATTGTTAGATTAAGCTCTGAACCGTTGTAACTTAGGAATGATTAAAGATATCTTATTGGAATTCTACGTGGTTTTTATAACACTATTGGACTCTACTTTGCGCAATAACAATGTATAATTACTCTCCAATCTTAAACAGAAGAATCGTGATGAAATCGATCATAAATTAAAACTATGTGTTCATCATTAATGAATCATATCTAAGGATTGGAAGTTCATGAAGGATTGAAATAAAGTTTATATATATATATATATATATATATATATATATATATTAAAGAAAAACAGACCACTTTAAGGTTCCATTATAATAATTTATTTCACCAGAGCCCTGGATCATCAGATAGCATATATATATTCCAGTATCCTTTCTAACATTCATGATGATCTTCGCCCACTCTAACCTTCTAATCTTCTGACCTGGAGTAAAAAGGTGCCTCACAGGTTTCACGTACGATTTCATTTTCAAATCTTTTTTCACTGCACTTTGAACTGTCATTGCTGAAATTCCTCTCTCACGTACCAAACGTCTTATGAATTGAGTTGGATCTTTTCTTATTGATCTCTTTTGCTCTAAGTTGAAATGATGATTCCTCTTCCTTTTGTGACCCTCTGATCCAGATTTCCTCCCTACTGTTCCCCTTTTTAAACTTATTCACCGTTCTATTGATACACACACACACACACACACACACACACACACACACACACACACACACACACACATATATATATATATATATATATATATATATATATATATATATAAGCAAGTTAGTTTAAATTCAGCTGATAAGGCATGCCATTTTTCTAATACAGTATAGTTTACTGCATATTGCGTAACAGGCCAGTAGTTTTCTCTTTGTTTCTAATGAAATTTTCCTGTTTCTTAATACTTTGCTTAGTTTTTGGAAGGCATCTTTCTCTACCCCAATCCGATTTTCTAGACTAAAATCATTCTTAAAAGATTTCTACAGCTAAATTATTTTCAGTGCACATTTATAGGAAGTTATTTACAATTCCTGACTAAATTTATGGGATAAGCAACTATCTTTTTTTTTATTTGTAGTCAGGATTATATCATCATATTCGTTTTTATTATCAAAATGTTTACGCTGATGTTCCAATCTGGGCTCATTCAGCTGCTTGTGGATCTAGACAACCATTAAGTTTTTTTCGAATTGAACACTTTATTAAATTTATGGGCGTGGATTGTTTTCGTTCTGATATCCAAGCTTATAGTTCTTTTGTTTTGGTTAATTGTATTTTTATTATTGCTCAGCTATTGCTTGTCCAGTTTTCATATAGATTAGGTATACATGGACACGGTGTAGCCATACCCGACTTCCCTCTTAGAACTGAGGGCATTGGTATTGGGCATTATCTCCAATTTAGACCCCAACAAGGCTAATGGTGGGGATGGGATACCAGAGATTGTCTTCAAGAAATGCGTGCCTGAACTGGCGCCCGCCCTCTCTAAACTATATAACTGCAGCCTCAAGGAATTTTGCTTTCCTGGAGCCCCTTCTGTTTGCCTCGGGGTTCTTGATAAGCTCCAGAGGCGGATATGCAAAATAATTGGCCCTGTTCTGGCATCTCGTCCACAGTCGCTCTCTCACAGACGCACCGTCGCCTCTCTCTGTCTTTTTTACAAATATTTTCGTGGCAATTGCTTCGACGAGCTGCATTCGCTGGTTCCCAGACTTCATGAATTCAAGCGCCCTACGAGGCTGGCATCCCGCTCTCACTCTTTCACTGTCGAAACTACTAAATGTAGCCGTCTCTTCTACTCCAATAGCTTCATGTCTCGCAGCTATCGCCTGTGGAACTCCCTTCACTATTCCAGTTTCCCCGAGAGCTATAATCTTCAACTATTCAAATGTAATGTCAATCGACATCTCCAGATGCCTTGATCTATCCACTATCCTTCTCCTCATCCTTTCTTCTATCACTCCTATCTGATCTTGCTCCAAATCTTCTGTAAGCCCTTGCGTTCTAGTGGCTTCCCGCCTTGCTTGGGGTGAAACGCTTAAAAAAAAATATATATATATATATCCCCACTTAACCCTAACATGAAAGGTTGTCCGGATAATAGACACGTGAAAAAAAGCCGGGAGCCACAACGGCCGAAATGTTGTGACAGTAACAAAAAAGTTAATGTCATTAATCCGAGTGTAAATGAAAATAATTATTTACAACACATTATGCTAGAAAAAGATGTGTGGGTAGTATAACGGATATCGATGCTGAATGTGAAATCGATGATCCGAGTTCGAATTCCAGTCAAATCAGTTATGTTTGTAGCGAGTGGGAAATAAAAATAACTCTCTTCACCCAATCCCTTCAAATTCGGAGGACTGAGGAAGACGAGAGAAAGGAATTCGCCAACCTATGTGAAATTTTCGTTGGACCAATGAAAACCTTGCCTTCACAGAAATTAACTGGTGAACTGAAGAGAAGAAAGAAGGAAATTCGCAAGTCTATGTGAATTTTTCTTTGGAGCAATGAAAACCTTGCCTTCACAAAAATTAGCCAGTCAGCTAAGAAGAAAAAGAAATTAGTGAGCCAATCCGAAATTCTTCCTCATATAGAATGAGGAGAAAAATTAAATTTAAAAACAGAAGAGTGCTTGATCTCATGTGAAAAGTTTCGTTTCAGTTCCTCGCGACCAGTGTTGAAGTTCTTGCCAGTGTGAAATTATTAGCCAATTATACTGTCGGCCTCTAACCAAGCACGTGGCACTTAAAAGTATTTTCCCTCAACAACCCAAGTAAGCTGAATATTTCAAACTATCTCTCTTCGACTACTTTTAATGTCTGCAACCTTATATCCTTTCTGTGAGCAATGAACTCTCTTATATTTGTTTTAAACATTTTTGAATATTATTTTGTGTCAGATCAGTTAATCTGTTGTATGAACATTTCCTCTTCATGACAAGAGGTTAAAACTACGGACTTTCCAAGAAACAAAGTTGACAAAATGAAAAGAAAGGATCAGGGCAAAAATAAAATAAAGCAAGCAAACAATATATGCAAGGCAAAGCAACAGTAATATGGCAAAAAGTTCACAAACTAAGAAATGGCGTTGATCCACAATAGCAAGTTCAGGCAAGCGAACGTAGAGTTCTGACTTCAAGACAAGACAGATCGGGACTGAATTATATAAAATCGAGAACCGGCCTATTTTATTGGCTAGGAAAAAAATCCCAGGATGCATTTGTGTGCTTCTGCCTATAAATTGTGGAGAGGCAAATGTTTATCAGTTAATCCTAAATGGACTGAATTTTTTACATCATGAGGTATTTTGTAGGTCCCTTGTGAATATGTGGCATTTTGGTACATATAGGATTAGAAGGTGATGGACAAGTTCTTGTGGTGATTGTGCATATTGTATTGGATGAATGGTTCGTGATTGTGATTAACTAGGACTAGAATAATTACCGATTACCAGCCTTTCCCTCAGTCCCCCTTCGGCCTTGTGCCACAATTTTTGCAAAATTAAAAATATAAGTAGTCATTCCTTAATGGATTGATATCGACACATTTAGAATTGAGATGTAAGTTCTATTCTAGAAGCTTTTTCCCATACACTACGAAACTCCCAATCTTTACCTTTTTAGGCACGGTGGAGTAATGGATAGCGGCTCGGATTGAGGAATCAGAGAACCGAGTTCGAATTCCAGTCGAATCCATTACATTTACTTACGTGCTAATACCCTTGGAAATGTATTAATCATCTTCCCCTTCCACCTATGGGTAAATATATAGCCTTGGATGGCAACTGGTCTAGGAGAAGGACAAGTCTGAATTCAAAGCCTGTGGAGGGTGGTTTGGGGACCTTGTGGCAGATTGGCTTCTATAGCCCAGAAAATAACTCTGAATTCAAAACTGTATGTAGTTCAGGCGTAGCACATACTATACAGCTAAAGAAAGGATCGTTTACATTGGATCAATGATACTGACTATGGTTGAATGATGATGACTCTCTACATTCTGAAGATGACTATCTGCATATTTGTTGTTGTTGTTACTCCAGGACAGAAAGTTAGAAATTTAGAGACGGCGAAGATCATCTTGAATAAGTTATTATCCTGGAATAATATATATATATATATATATATATATATATATATATATATATATATATATATATGCACTTTATTTTACACTTTCATGAGCTTTCAATCCTTAGCTGTGATTAGTTAATGATTCCGCAAATCGAAGAGCCGAATTCGAATGACAGTCGGATTCATTACATTCACTTACGTGCTAATAAGTTATGGATCCTCTTCTTCTCCTCGAAGCTATGGATAAATAGCAGGACTGCCAGGGTTTTATAGCCTTGAGTGGTTTAAGAGGAAGTAACTCTGAATTCAAAACTGTATGTAGCCCTGGCGTAGCACGTATTATACAGCTAAAAATTCGGAATTGCAACCCCCTGAGGCAGTTCGTCGCTGATTTCAGCCTCGCATTGACATTTGTTCTTCCTTTGGATCCATCAGCAACGTGGAGATGGAAAATATGCTCTATACCATCCTGCCCAGACTTGATCCTACTTTACAAATGAGCGGGATCAGATCCATGGTCACTGATGAGCGGAGACCTATCTATCTAACCGGTTCAAGTGTAGGATCAACCGTTATCCTCGCCACATATTCCCGTAAATTGTGCCGTTTACTCTTTAACCCTGTGCCTCGACTGGCTTATATCATTAGATATCATTGAAAAATATATGAAAATTCTATGAGAAACATTAGCGCTTTTTAAAAACCGAAAAACACTTAATATCTAATGGGAAATATCTCCGACATTTCTTGCGTGATTTGGGTCTGTTAACAGTATTTCTCTGTTTATTTGCCTTGTACCCGACTAATAATAATCATTCTTAATAAAAAGAGTTCTGTTGGGGCGCACCCACCTTCTAACTAGTTATGGACTGGTCCCTCTTATATAAGTCAGCTCTGGAGAGAGAGTGAGAGAGCGTCAAAGAGAGAGTCAGCGTTAGCAGTCCAGATAAGCTTACCCGGTACATACCGATGGACTATAGACTTTGGATATTGTTTCGTACTAACCAACCTTCGTTCTATTAATCACTCTATTGTTAATTGCTTTTATGAATATACCAGTATTTTCCTCTACAACTGTGTTTGTCTTGATTCATACACCGACACGCGGGAGACTCACAACATCTCAACAAGTTCCAAAGAAAAAAGTGTGTGCTTGTGTGTGCTGATACCAGTGTGCTTGTGTAGTTTTGGACCGACCGTTGGATTTGAGTTCCGTTACATTTTCAACTTTTCCAGTGTGAGCGCCATTTCATTTTCTTTCTTTTTTTTTTTTTTATTTTACCTCCCAGCCGCCCGCTCCCCAGCACGTTTTGGGGGCAGAACGTCATGAAATCAGCTTTGCCTCGGCCCACCACACTTAAATCTCCCATCACCAAAGGGATATCATTTTTAATGACATAATCAAAATTCCAAAACTACAAGAAAGCCTGATTTCCCGCCGTTCGGGTTTCGTTCATTGCTTTTCCACTATTTCATACCCGATCATCCCACCATCACCTCCCCTGCCCCCTACCCCATCCAAGTCGAGACGACGGCAAGAGCGTGCCCTCAATCGACCGGAAAGTTGCCCCGAAAGAAAACCTTAGCGATGATCAAATCGAAAAACCTTATCTCTTTCTGAAAGGTTTCTTGAAAGGGACGATGGGGGTCATTACTCAACTGCCAAGCAAATATAATTAAATTTATTCTGAAAAAAAAGTCTCTGAATGATTTTGCGTTTGCAATTTTTTTAAAGTTCCACATGATTAAGCTATATATAATATTTCATCCCTTAGTCAACGAGGGATAGAAAGATTGTGTTGCGTCAAATAGTCTGAATGATTTTGCGTTTGTGATTTTTTTTAAGGTTCCACATGATTAAGCTATATATATTATTTCTTCCTTTGGTCAACTGGGAATAGAAAGATTGTGTTGCGTCAAAATGTCTGAATGATTTTTGCGTTTAAGTAACCTTTAGGAGGCACGGTGGCGTAATGGATAGCGGCTCGGATTGAGGAATCGGTGAGCCGAGTTCGAATTCCGGTCGAATCCATTGCATTCATTTTTCGTGCTAATACCCTTGGGAAAGGTAAGAATCCTCTTCTCCTCCTCCTCCGCAACTATTGGTAAATAGCAGGGCAGTTTGGTCTCTATAGCCTTTGATGGCAACTGGTCTACCGCAGAAATAAATGGCAACATACTGCGGGGAAAAAAATCAGCCTCGTCAGTCATGTATCGAAAAATACATAATCGCCTATGCGTGTATCACTCACTTTTTTAAGCGTACACATGATTAAGCTATATATAATATTTCTTCCCTTGATCAACTGGGGATAGAAAGATTGTGTGGCGTCAGATTTTTAAGCGGCTAATAGTAAATACATTCCTGGCGTATATTATATAATTCCTTCTGTATGTTATAGCCTCATGCTTGATTCATTATTCGAATACTGTAAATGGCTTGCGGCCACAATACGTTGCTGTACTGGTTCTCGTACGATCACCGAAGTTAAGCAACGTCGAGCCTGGTGACCGCTTGCGTATATCAGGTACAGCAAGCTGGGATATGCGGCTGGTGTAATGGATAACGGCTCAGAGAATCGGTGAACTGAGTTCCAATTTCAGTTGGCTCGTTATATTAACATGCGCCAATTCTCTTTGAAGAGATTTGTGTCCGCCTTTTCTTCCCCTAAACTGTGGGTTAATTAGTACGACTTGCATCAACCATTATTTGGGTAAAAATTTCTTACAATCTAGAAAATATTTTCTGACTTTAAATAATAATAATAATAATAATAATAATAATAATAAGAGCGGTGACCCATCATAGGGCGGACAGGGCTCGGCATTGCTTGGCTTCGGTGATCGTACAGGAGCCGGTGTTTCAATGTAATCTGTCCGTAAACCTTTTCCTTTTGTCCTTCATCTATACAGGGTGCGATGGATAAATTGTCGTCTAAATTACGTCATAACGTTGGTATCACATTTTAACAGATATATTTACCAAAATTGCACAAAAATATCTTGAAATCATAAAGGTTAAATATATTCATTAAAATCAACATTGGCTTAAACGACGACTTCGGAATCCCCTGCACCTCTTCTAGATGGTCTACTTGTTTATGTTGGTTAATGCTGCCATAATTCTTGCATTCAGGTCTTCTTTGGTATTATGAGGAGTTTTACTGGCCTCTCGCTCCACTGCGCCCCACACATAATAATCAAGGGGGGGGTTCAGTTTGGGGAGTTAGGTGGCCAGATATAAGAGGTGATGTAGTCACAGAAATTGTCTGACGGAATGTTTTCTCCTGCTTGTGTGGCATGTTGCACAGTCCTGTTGCCAGCAGTCACCCTTTTGGCCCAGGGCAGCACTGTTTCCTCAAGGTACTTGATGTAGGCCTCCGTGTTCAGTCTGAAGACGAATGGAGGCATAACATCGGGCATCACTAGTGATAACAACAAGCACCTTTGTAATCACCATTAGACTCATCCAACTCTTTCTGAATCCTCTGCACTGTCCTCAAATTGACGCACAAACACTCTAAAATGTCCGTGTTGGAGATTCCGGCACGAATGCCAAGCAGTACCGCATGCCGTTTTCAAATTTCTGAATTGCATCATGGTACTCTTTTTCTCACAGACGGTGCCCAAATGACCCTGCCCTATTCTTCAGTCGACAAAATCAAAACAAACAAAGAGCATGCGCGAAATTAAAAATATAAAACGGCAACGATTTATCCATCGCATCCTGCATATATATATATATATATATATATATATATATATATATATATATATATATATATGGTGGACTCTCAATTCTATTCTACGTCTGAGGGTCAAGCAGATTAGTTTCTAGGAACCGACAGCCAGACACCCACACATGATTTGATTATAGTGCAGAACCTGATGCAACACGTGCCACAAGGTCCCCAAGCCACCCTCCATAGGTTTTGAACTCAGAGACCAGTTACCATCCAAGACTATTTATTTACCCATAGGTGGAGGAGAACAAAAAAACTTGTCTACTCCTATTGGCTGTGAAGAACACAAAGTACACACACACACACACACACACACACACACACACACACACACATATATATATATATATATATATATATATATATATATATATATATATATAATTATTTATTTAAAAATATGATTCCAACATATTTATGCTCTACTTTTGTATCGAGCACTATTTTTTAAAAATAATAACAAAAATACTAAAGAACTTTGGATTATTTACCTAACGAGTTCTTTCCTATTTTCTATATATTTTCACACACACACTCACACACATATATATATATATATATATATATATATATATATATATATATATATATATATACTTTGTTTTCTTCACAGCCAATAGGAGTAGTAAAGTTTCCTTATCGCCCGATTCACACTCCTCCTCGTATTTTTGAACAGGAGTAAAGGAATTTTATTCACGAATTAATTCAAGTCAGATGCTTATAAATATTTATGCATACATACATGATGGTTGGTTTTCGTTATCGAGCATGGGCATCAGACAACATCCTTCAAAGATTCACCGGTTCCACGCACAGAGATAACTTTTAAGCCCGGTCAGTGATTTACGTTGTTTTCCACTGACTCGTCGGCCATGTAGTACGCTTTATGGCATTTGATTGCTATGAACCTGTAATAATGCTGGGAGTCATCATAATAGTCATGGCTTTTAAGGCTACGGCGAGCCATACGTCCCACTCAGAAAAGATCCCATAAAGACATCATCGTGTAATACCTGTGAAAAAAACGGTGCACAAGGTCAATCAAGTTCACTGACCAACATAAGCAATGATCTGAAAAGAAGAGGATATCGACATCGTCGGCTCCTAGTGGTCCTCAAGTGTTAAATTAAGGTTTTCCTTCTCCTAGGGTGATCTCCTAACAAGGACTAAGGAACTTCTCTCTCACTCTCCCCCCCCCCTAATGTTTCTCATTGCTGGCGTTGGGGTGTCGATTACTGACTATCATACTCCGGGTTCATAACTGAGACCCTGACAGGTGCTACCAACCCGAGTCGGGATGACCTTGGAAAAACAGTAATCTAGAGGTGGTTCCACACTCCTCAAAATCTCCAAGCTCCCGATTGGCTCACATAGATAGATAGATAGATAGATAGATAGATAGATAGATAGATAGCGAATAGCTGGCGTGGGAAAAAGACAGACGATAGAAAGTCTTTAAAGCCATAATGGCCCACGTCCTGAAGGGATAAGGCACATAGATGATGATGTTAGGCATTCTCTTTGACATTGTAGACGAGAAAGTTAGCTCCACACCAGTGAGGGCTCTGGAGTCGCGGGCGCGCGCGCACACACACACACACACACACACACACACATCGAGATAGCTAGCTAATTAGCTAGCTAGCTAGCTAGCTAGCTAGATAGATAGATAGATATGGGGAATATAAATATAAAGGTTACGAATAGCTACAAAGGTTAGAAAGTCTTTCAGAGCCATTTTAACCCTTGTCCTGAAGGAGTTTTGGTACCAAGATGATGATGCTAGGCAGTCTCTCTGACATTGTAGACGAGTAAATAAGGTCCACACACACACACGCACGAACGCACAAACACACAACGTGATATATATATATATATATATATATATATATATATATATATAGAGAGAGAGAGAGAGAGAGAGAGAGAGAGAGAGTGAAAACCAGACGCTTCTCTGTGGCTGAATTGTTGACATCACATCAGGTTAAATGACGGGTCCCATAAGGTTTACAGGGTGGATTCCTGTCGGAGGACGCATATCTTCTACGCAATTTCTTGAGCATTTAGGCCGGTAAATACTGTTTAATAAAAAAAAGCATTTACTTATATATATATATATAGATAGATAGATAGATAGATAGATAGATAGATAGATAGATAGATGAAAAACGTGATAGATTGATAGACAGAAAGAAACATGCTGAGAGATAGACATAGATAGATAGATAGATAGATAGATAGATAGATAGATAGATAGATAGATAGGAATTACAGAGAGGACATTAATCTTAGTCAAACACTAAGTCAAAATCAGTGACAGAGAGATTTTGTGTATTATCCGGCACCTCCTCCCAGAAACGAATTCCCATTTCATTGCTCTTCTATTCAACGGACGTCCTCTGCTATTTTCCCTAACTTGCGTGTCACCCATTTTGACGCAGGAGATTTGTTTTCCGCAGCGTACCTTGCAAATTCTCTTAAATTTATCGCCTCGCGCATTACTTGACACGAAAGATTTTACTCGGACGCTACTCACATTTTTGTTAACCGAACCATAAAAAGAAAACGTCTTTTGTTTATAGTTTCTGTTATCTAATAACTTTGCCTGATTCTATTTCTGTGTATCGAGGCGTGAATAGTAGTATATCTTCTAAAAAAAAAAAGGAAAGGAAAAAAAAGAACGCATTGTGTCATCGTAGAACGTCTTTGAGTTCTCCTCGCTTCATGTGCGCATTCAAGCGATAAACATTCGCCCAGTACCCGTTCTTGATATTTCACTTCCTGTTTGTGAGCGTCAAGGGGGTCATCATTCGACCCTTGCCATTGTGGCCCCTGCAGCTCACATACCAACCTAGATTTACTACATTTTTTTTTTTTGTCCGAGTCCTTTCTTTTGTCCTATTGTCTACAGAGCACGCTAAGCCGTGAGGACGCGGTGAAGTGTATCGATTTAATTTAGTTGACGAGAAAACCCCATTCTATAAAAAAAAAGGTCATATTGATTTTTAAAGCACACTTTATTTCTACAGCAATAATTTATATTAATATTCTACATATTATTATCATCATTAATATTGTTTTTTGTTTTTGTTTTTGTTAATTACCGTTGTTGTTATATCTGTTGAGTTTCGCACACATACTGCATCAGGTGGTTTCTGGTTAGAGTTCATGTAACAGAAAGTCCCCCAACGCTCCAGCAGGTTGCGACCAAAGTGTAGTACCACTTCTCCTGTTTTTCAGTCTTCGTGCAGTTTACGGTTTTGTAAATGTTATAACCTGGAGAAGGTTACTGAATAGAATAATCAAACGAAGGTTGGTAATGAACGATAATGCCTAGGACAAGAAAAACGCATATAAGATTCGCCAGCGGCGCGTAAATGTAGTCAACTGCCAGAAATGTCTCAAGTGAATTCCACAATGAATCTTCAACTGCGGGACATCTACCAACCGATCAGATGTGGCACAAGGCCAAATTTAATATGGGGTATCCACGCCCTTAGGCTCGGCCAAAAATTTCAACGTAGACTCCGTATAAAACGGGGTCGGGTAGCTGTTTGCCGAGACGAAACTCTGCCTTTCGACATAACCCCGTCTGGGTATCCTCTCTGCCCGGAGGCAGAGAGTTTGATCAGCACAGGTGCAGACGAATCTCCAATTGCAGATCAACATACAGTATTTAATACTATATTTATGCGAATGGGGACGTAACCATTATCGTCTGTAGGTATGCTACAACAGTAATAATAAGAGAAGTCGTGTCCCTGGGGTTCCAACCCAGCGGCACCTCATTGTATCAAAGTGGTTGGTCGCATAGCGATGCCTGTCAGACAGTGATCGTGGTGACTAGACAATCTATTATTTTTACCTTAGCCTATATGTATATATTAAAGCGACATATTTTCACATCGTGTCACCGTGAGAAAGTATATTATCTGCATTTCCCTTCATTTTAAAGTTATGAGGGAAGCCTGGCTCCAAAAATTCCAACCTAGAAAAACGCAGCACTCTTATTGAGCTCACGTCATCGTAACTGTTTTCGCTGCTACAGGACAATATTTCCCCTTGACCTACACCCTTGTCCAAATTAATTGAAACCAACGCTTTAGTTTCCTTACTTTCAACCTACGATCAGTTTTAGACCCACTTGAGTGACAGTGTGTAATCGGTGTCCATTTCATCTCAGATTAATTCATTAAGCAGTGGTGTCCAGTAATATGAATCTCTTTTCGGGTTGTATGATGAAATTTGTTTGTATGAAAAATATTGCCTCATCCTTGATTGTATCAGATTTGTATCACCTCCAGACACTATTGTCTCGACTGTCGATTAGTTGTCTTACTGCTATTGTCTGCGATGGACGTTACTCCACGGAAGTGTACAAAAATTGTATCGCTGCACGGACTCACTGGCAAGCCTTACCAGTGAGCAAATCAAAGTATTACAAACTGGCCCTCACATTTTCCTGATTTAAATCCAATCGAGAATCTGTGGTCAGTCTGCAAGGAACCACTTCGTGGAATGGACATACAAAGTACTAACATGTGCACTGGGTCATGTTTCATTGGAAAAATATGAAAATAGGAAATAACAGCGGTATTATTTGTTTTGTTTCAATTAATTTGAACGAGGGTGTATGTTCATATTCATGGACAGCCTATAAACAATCTTGTGTTACATCCTACCAGTGTAAGGAGTTGAGAAAATACAGGCTGGCTTTTCCTGGTTTTCGCGTTGGTAACTGTGGCGAAAGCAGAACCAGGAATTCCAACTCTGCAGCATTACCTTCCTTGCCGGATAACGATGCCAAAATGACAAGGCCAAAATGGCAAGGCCAAAATGGCAATGGTCGCAGATACTGACCAATGTTTGTCCTTGAACTGTATTTACGACAGCCCACGTTAACCCAAAATTCTGTCCTATTCTAGTACTGTAGCGAAGTGAGTTATGTGCATAGCACCCCCCTTTATTTTATTATTATTATTATCCAGGATATAGGCGATCATGGTTCTCCACGACTTCTAATCATTTATAGCTCTGAGCAATGTTTGGATTTTCGCTCTCTCCTAATCCCTGTTTTGGTAGATTATTCGCTGCTTTCCTCTGTCCCTATTTAGTTCAATATGCCCTGTGAGCGTTAAATTTTCCAGGCCCTCTTTCCTTATAATGCACCCTAGAAATGTCAAGTGTCTTTTTTTTAAGTGTCCTTTTTGTTTCTATTCTGCTTAAAACTATTATCAGCATCCTTCTGTAGAATCAAATTTCCATTATTCACTGCCATACTGGAAAAATCTTGTATTTATTAATAAAACAGAACATTAACTGGTAACAAACCGCCTGTATTCGGATAGAAAATGAATTAAGAAAGTACACAAAAACAGAAAACAATGATACACCTTCTCGCCAGATTTATTTAAGCTTTACACTAAGGTGATTCTGATAGAACTAGGTGTCCTTCTAGGATTCATTTTTGACGGACACTATCTGTGCAACAGGTTGATACAGTGTTGATAGCAGACACGGGAAAAAACTGTATTACCTCCGAGACAATGCAGGAAAGAAAAACTAATAGAAAGGATTTACCATCAATTGTACTGGATCATTGCAAAAGCACTCGATTAGAACATTAAAAACGATATTTTATATGCGAACAATTAAAAAAAAGAAACATTTATTGGAAAAAAAACATAGTTTCCATTGTTTTTCGTCGCTCTACAAACTTGTTGATGTCATTTTCATAGAAACTTCGTTTGTTGTTTGTTTTTTTGTTTTTGGTTGAAAGAAATTTCTGAAGTAGTTCAATCTAGTTAACGTCTTAGAGGCTTCATTGCCTTACTTGGGGTGAAATTATAAAAATTGAGTCTGGACATGAATTCAATTGAAAGTTGTTGAGAAGCAAGCTAAAGAAATTTTTTTTAAAAATTTATAATTTGAAAAGAGTGCCAAAAATTTAATAAAATATATTAAATTATGAAATCCTTCTCTATGTAAACAGGACTTTGTATTAGGCCTCAAACTAATTACCATCTTTTTGTTCCCCCAATACACTTTGTCCACTTTTCTTTTTTTAAAATAATTTACTTAATTAACCTCGATTTAGCTCTGTTGAGCGAGGTACGAAACCGGTACGCCAGCGCGTTTTTCATTTTTACTTTTTAGGATCATCATGAGTGGTAATAATAAAATTAATTTTGGTCTGTTTATGGCAGTAATCAAAGAAACAAATTTTGATTTAAAATTTCTAATTTCTTGAGGTGAATTAATATTTACGATAGATTTACATTATTTGGGGTGAAAAAAAAATATTCGATGGTTGGATTTTGGAAGTATATGAAAAAACATTGGGAGGGGGGCATAATAACTATTTATCTGAAATGAAGAATAAACGGATATAGACGTTTATTAATTCATGCCAGTTGTTGTTATTTAATTAAAAAATATATATGTATAACCGTTTGTTATTTAATTAAAAGATATCTTTTTTAATCTGTTTTTCTCCACAGAACAGTTTACCCAAGATAGCTTTGTAAAAATCAAGAATTGAAATTACAATGTATATTATGAACAGCACCCTCCTTATAAAATGACAAAAATTGGTACTCCAAAAATTTTCCTGCCTTGAGGAAAGTCTAATGAATGTTAATTCACAAAATTATTTCCCAAAAAATTTCGCGCCTTTTTTAAGAACTAAATGCTGTTTTCTCTTCTGATATATCATTGCAAACGTTCGTGTCTGATTAGAAAAAAAATGAGATACTGACAAAAAAAAAACATTTATTCGTCAAGTACATAGTTTCCATTGTTTTTAATAACTGCCTGCCATCGTTCTACAAGCTTGTTGATGCTATTTTCGTAGAAATTAACCATTTCTTGGTTAGAAGAAGATTGTGATGTACTTTTCGACTGATTGTACAGAGTCAATATAAAGGGTGTTCCAATAACTTACCGATTTTAAATGTGAATTAAGTTTAAGTGCCTAATGAATTTTTTTCTTTTTCTTTCAGAGTTGGCGGATATTTTGGCGTTATTATTTTTCACAAATAATCGCCATGACTTAAATAACATGATCCAATAGAGAAATAAATAAATTTTCACCAGTAACTCTGATTTATTTACTGCTGACTTTGATCCGTCTTAATGAAACACCTTTATATATAATCCTTCTTAATGAAACACCATTATATATATTCCGTTTTAATGAAACACCATTATATATAATCCGTCTTAATGAAACATCCTTGATATATAATCCGTCTTAATGAAACAATCTTTATATATAATCCGTCTTAATGAAACACCCTT